GACTCCCCGTCCGCGTACCGGCCCATTGTGCTGCTCGACGAGGTGGGAAAGCTGTTCGAGAGGATAATCTCAGACCGCCTCGTCGGGCACCTGTCTGGAAGGGGGCCGGATTTAGCGGACGGCCAGTTCGGCTTCCGAAGAGGGCGCTCCACGGTGGACGCCATCATGCGCGTGAGGTGCTACGCACCGACCTCCCGAGCGGCGTCAGAATTGTCTGCTATGCTGACGACACGCTGGTGCTGGCGAACGGGAGGTCGCATCAGGCGGCGGCCGACCTGATGTCACAAGCGGTTGCGACAGTCGTTGCAAGGATCCGGCAGTTGGGACTCGAGGTGGCGCTCCACAAGTCCGAGGCCATGTGCTTCTATGGCCGTCGGAGCGCGCCACCTCCAGGTGGGTCCCAAGTAACGGCAGGAGGAGTTACCATCGGCGTCGAGTCGGCGATGAAGTACCTGGGTCTCGTCCTCGACAGCCGATGGAACTTCACGGAGCATTTTCGTCGTTTGGCCCCTAAGTTGGAACGGTCTGGGGCCGCGCTCAAGCGGCTCCTTCCCAACCTCGGGGGGCCAAACGCCTCCTGCCGGAGGTTGTATATGGGGATTGTGCGATCCATGGCCCTCTACGGTGCCCCTGTGTGGGCGCCGGACTCGAAGCGGCGGCCGGCTCGTACGCTGGTCGCGTCCCAGAGGGTCATGGCTATCCGAGTAATCCGCGGGTATCGCACGATCTCCGGGGAGGCGGCGAACCTCCTTGCCGGATCACCGCCGTGGGATCTAGAAGCGAAGGCGCTCGCGCGCGTCTACAGTTTGCGCGCAGACGCGCGTAGCCGGGGCGAAGATCCTTTGCCGCGCCAAATAAGTGCGTGGCGGAATGAGCTCCGGCGAGATCTCATGGCAGAGTGGAGACAACGACTGTCGCAACCGAGGGCCGGGCACGCTACCATAGCAGCGGTAAGACCCCTCTTTGAGGAGTGGCTTGAGAGACGCCACGGCGTCCTCACCTTCCGTCTGACGCAGGTGCTTACCGGGCACGGCAGCTTCGGTAGGTTCCTGTTTCGGATTCAGCGGGAGGAAACGCCCGAGTGTCGTCATTGTGAGGACCACCTAGAGGATACGGTGGAGCATACGGTAGCGGTATGCCCTGCCTGGGCTGAGCACCGCCGTATCCTCAGGGAAGTGATCGGCGGCGGCGACCTCTCGCGCCCGGCCTTAGTCGAGGCCATGGTGCGGAGTGAGAGGAACTGGGACGCCGTCTCCTCCTTTTGTGAAGCAGTCATGCTCGCAAAGAGAGAGGCGGCCCGCGTGAGGGAGCAATCCTCCTCCTCACGCCCCAGCAGCCGCAACTGGCCGCAACACTACGGGCGTCGGGGATCGAGGGACGATCTCCGGCCACCGTAAGTACGGGCCTGCGGTCGGCGAGTAAGGGCAGCTCGCCGCCCGACCAGAACCAGGCCCGAGCGTACGGCGCGTAGCGTTCCGCGCGCGCCTCAAAGAGCCAATAGACCACCACAGACGGGGCCCTAAAGGGCTGATGTTCAGCCGGGGTTCCCCTAAATCTCCAAATCCCTAAAAGGTCGGCAACGCACTCGTAACTCCTCCGTTGCGGGTGTCCATAGGCGGCGCTGATTGCTTACCATCAGGTAATCCGTCTGCTTGTTTGCCGACCTATTACATAAAAAAAATAACATCTGCACTATTTTCAATTCTTGTGACAAATATTTCTAAATCAATATAAAAAAAAACCCCACCTTATGCAGCAAAAAGCAGCCGTTTTCATCGGTCGAGTAAAAAGTTTTATCATAACATTTACGGCACTGGGAGAAGAAAGGAGCCCATAAAAGAGGCGAGATACTAAATTCAGAGGTCTGACTTCAATTGGCTGACTGTAATGCCAGAGGTTTTGGAGTGATATTACTTATATTGAGACGCAAGTACTGATATTTATAACTAACAATATTTATTTAACTCTACCAAAAAATTAAACTAAAATGAGTTGCAAATAGTATCAGTTGCTTTGCCAAAACGAGCTTTATAATATTTAATTATCTGTTTGAAAGCCTTGTATCTAAACGAACATCTATACTAATATTATAAAGAGGTAAAATTTGTAAGTTTGTATGTAGAAGGTAATTTTTAGAACCACTGGTCGGATTGCCAAAATTCTTTCACTGATAGATAGTTACAATGTTTCTGAGTGCTAAAGGCTATAAAACGTCACGCTACGATCAAATGGAGCTGAGCAGCGGGTGAAACCGCGCGAGAGTAGCTAGTAATATTATAAAGAGGTAAAATAGAGACAATATCTATACTATAATAATATTGTAAGTTTATATGTAGGGGGTAATTTTTGGAACCACAGGTCGGATTCCCAAAATTCTTTCATTTATTGATAGCTACAATGTTCCCGAGTGCTATAGGCTACACAATATCACACTAAAATCAAATACAGCCGAGCAGCGAGTGAAACCGCGCAGGAGTAGCTAGTACATTAACTAAACAAAGCCAGTTTCTCTGACCCTATAGCCTCATGTATGCTAAAATCTTTAAAACTACGCAACGGATGGGAATGCGGTGTATTTATTTGTTAAAATGATTGAAGATGACGGTTTTATTGTACCTATACTCACATCTACAACATTAAATAGAGGAGAAATAAGAATCAGCATTGCACCCGTATGAATCCGGGGCAGGAAGCTAGTTGTTGATGGAGATCATTGAGAGAAGACTGCGTTCTTTTTTCTTGAACTGGATCGCAATCAAAGATTAACACCCGATTTCTGAAAGGCTTGTCAACACTAAAATTAACTTTTCTCCTGTTAAATCTAAAGAAATTAATTTTAACATTGATCGGCCTTTCGGAAATCGGGTGTAAGACGGAACGAAGATCCATCCCGAAAATATAATCAATATAAGTTTAACCATTTAATATAGCTACACAGTAATAAAGCCTCGGAATCTCATTCTTCTCTTTTGTTTAAGTACCCCTATTACCACAATACCTTGGTTCTACCGCCAGTACCTACATCTCAATGTGCCTTTAGCGAAGGGTCTGGCCAAGAAGTTCAGGAACAAGTAAGTTTGGAAATAAGTGACGTGGAATGATCAATAGGGCGGGGGGTCGGTCGGCCGCCACGATAACGTAATTACTGCCAAAGCCTCGCCCCACGACAGACGCCTTTACTTTGTTTCTGGCCCATAATCTATTGGGCTTTTTATGGGTTATTTTTCTTTGTAGGGTGAACTAGGAAGTGAGAGCAAAAGAGTTGTTAGTAGGAATCGGACTTGTTCTCACTTCTGTTTTATTGTCTTTCTTTATTACTAACTCTAGTCAAACATAATAAAAACGGCATTTAATCTTCATGGACGCGAAAATGTTGACAAAAACTAAAATGTAACTTCATATTTCAAGAGAGAAGCATTTTACTGAATACTTTACGTACAGTTCTTCTTTATATCCATAAAAGATTTCCGTAAAATATTCTCCAATCGTAGTCAAAAGCGCATTGTTACTGCGCTCATAAAGAAAATACTCCTATTCCAAGAGATAGCTCTCAACAGTTCCACGACTTGTATTTCATAGCGCATTATGATGCATTTTTAACCTTTATAGCTACACTGCACGCTGTCACATAACATATATTTACGAGTAGAACTTTCTACGGTTAGTTATGTGGATCCTAGGTCTCGTTAAACTTAGTTCTCACGTGCCTCGAATACCTTGAATGACCTACAGGAGTATTGACCTGGATGACGTGAATTCTGTCTTTGTAACAACTAAATATTCTGACGAAACAATTACAAAACCATCTTCGAATGACGCACTGAAGCATGAAGCATACTATCAATGTTATATCGGTATTTAAGTCTTTCAAAATATCAAAGTTCACGTTGAAATAGTAACAAAAGTAGTACCTTTTCGATTTGCCTTTGTTTGAATATATTACTATTAAATTCTGCTATAATTCTGAAGTTTTGAATTGTGTTGCTTCAGTACAAAGCCTCATGAATATTATTATTGCCATAAAGGTAAATAGGAACTGTTGAAAAAAGGTGTAGGTACCTTGTAGTATGTACTAACACCTTATGATAAAAATAAAACTGGTAGCCCTGTAAAAGCTTTAACTGCACGGTTGGCGCGGTGGCTCGGCAACTGGCTGCCACGCAATGTGTCGCAGGAACAACTCTTTGTGTGATCCACAAACTGTTGTTCCGAGTCTGGGTATGTGATGTGTATGTCAAATTGCATGTTTATAAACGCAGAAAATCATAATGTCGAGCAAAATTTTGAAAAAAAAAAATGTTGTTTATTATTGTTTCTTGAACTTTATTTTAAAGTCGTTTTAAACAAACACAAACTGACAGAGTCGCAGTGAAGTTGTGAAGCGTGCTCCAGTTATTAATAACTGGTCATGAAAAGTAATAGGACGATCAAGAAATATGTCCTCAAGCTATTCTCCGAGGCGCACTGGCAGAACTCCAAAGTTTGCGACACAACTTGCCTTTACTTTATATGTGCAATGTGCAAGTATATAACTCGGCACACTGCAATTTCGTCTGCGTGTGAAGTTTTTTATTTATTTTGTGGAATTAAATTTATTCTATCTGCTTCAATTTACTTCACAAATTAATATTAATAGTTACTTTTGAATAAGAATTAATATGTACGCTACTTGTGTGTATTGAGTGTAAAATTTTAACTGTACCTAATACGAATATCGCTATTCAATATTCATTCCTTCTGGGAAAAACAAGCGAGATACCAGATAGCATATAATTTGTATATAATATATACACGAATAAGTAGACCTGATTTGATGTTTTTGTTATTTCGGATATTGATAAACTTTGTTATACCATAACATATTTATGGTATAAGACTAGTATTTTTTTAATAAAATTTACAATACATTTTCAATGAGGAATCGAGCCACATAATGATTTGAAAATTAATTTTTTGTTCCATTTATTAAATTTAAAACCTCCTTTCAACAGGTCGTCCAGCTCCTACAGTGATGTGGCTGATAGACGGTACTCCAGCACCTCAATACATCGGGGAGAAGACTGACACTCACGTAGTAGTGAACCGGCTAGAACTGCCCCATGTCAGGCGGACCCACCTGAACACTACCTTCAGGTGTCGCGCTTCCAACACCAACCTCGTCAGCCCACAGGAGAAGACTGTTAGATTAGAAATGAACTGTAAGTATTAATCTATTTTATTTTACAAAACAAATGCTATGAACGAATTGGTCTTTAAGTGATTACTGCTGATAAGAGTTAGCTCTTTCTCAAAATAAAAATCTAATGACAAATCTAACTGATGTAGAATCTTTATGGTAAATAGATTAACGCGAAAAAAATATTACTCTCAAATACGTACATCCCTAAAAATTAAGGGTAAGTGTGGGAGAGCCATGCTTCGGAACAAATGGATCTGCTCAACAGGAGTAGCCACGACCTTGCAGAAAACCGGAGTGAAACAACCATAGCGTCGTCGCCGTGTGAATGAGGCTGCCTGATGACCAAACCTTCTCGTCCCCTGTCCCTCCCCAATCCTTAAATTTCCAACCCATTATCCAAAAAAGACGGCAACGCTCTTGCAACTACGTAAGTGTTGACGGTTTCCTACTTGTGTTATGTTTTGCTCTGTGATTGCGGTTACGGGCGGGACAAGCCTAATTTTCCCCAACCTAAACTTCATAACCTTGAATTGTAACTCCTAATTTCTGACTAAACACCAATTCCATTATGAGATTCCAATAAAAAAAAGTGTTAATACAAATTCAACTATTAAAAAGTATTCTAATGAATAATAAAATACGAATCACTTTAGACAATTGAAGTCAGAAATAAAGTACCTAACAGTAATCTAATTACTTAATCAGTTTTTTTCTCTAATTTTTCTCACATAAGGGTACAATAATGTATACTATAAATGTTATATTATTGAAATTGTAAAACAATTTTTTAAAAAAAGATTAACGAATGGAGTTTCTTGCTCGTTCTTCTCCATTCGAATCTAAATTTGGAATGAGCACCTAGCTTCACTGACGAACAGACTGACAGACTACTTCTCTATTTTGACGTTTCAAAAGTACCTATTTATGGTTTAGTTGGAATAAATGATTTTGACTTTGACTTTGACTTTAATCATGAAAATTGTAGCCGATATCTTTTACGAATGTCTGTCATGCTGGGCAAACGTTGAGTTTGTCAAGCTTAGTTTAATATTACAAGTTGCTTACCACAAAGTTGCATGTAGATATGAAATGTTATAACCGCACAAAATAGTGGATACCTACTTGCACTCGCTATCAACAGGGACCACAATTTATAAAGTTATGACGTACTGTGGTCAACACATCGACCACAGACCATTAAAATTTTACATGCCTCAGCTTTATGGAGCAAGAGTTGAGGACGAAAAAATTCAACATTTTATTACGAAAATGCTTACTTTGTTTAGCCGTGCGTGTGGTCGACGTTATTAGCTATCGTACAAACTTATCATAGAGATTTTTTTGTGTGTCATTATAAAATGAAAGGACTTGACTAGTTTGTTTTTAATTATCTTTGCCAGACTTTGCTCTGTTTTCCATAAAAAAGTTTGTAAATAGTTTTTTTTTAATGTTTGTGTCTGGCTAATTATACGCGTACTCTGTTATTCGTAAAAGTGATTTATAAAAAGTATTAAGTGCTGAATAAATTACATGCTTATTATGTAGTCTTTTTAATATTGTTCCCAATAAGAACCTTATATTAACTTAATTTAACAACAGTTCAGTGGAAATCAGCGACAAGTAGTAATTATACTCGATTCGAATTGAGAGTTCAAATAACACTTCCGAGAACACAAATTACCGAGCGATTTCAACATTTTCTATTTATTATTACGGCACGAATTTCAAAGGAACTCTGTAAGCTTTAAAAATACTAAATATCATGTTTCCATTCGCACAAACATACCGACAGTGATTTACCTAAAAACCTGAGCTCTTATTTATAGTACGCACTAGAAAAATAGCAATTCGCGCTATATGTATTTACACTGCAATAGCCAAAACAAAGCAAACACCATCAAATATAAAAACAAGCAATTGCAAATCTATAACAACTTTTATCCGTAAACCGTATTCTACTAAAATACTAAATTCAAATTTCCACTGAAAATGTCCTTAACATAGCAGTCCCCGAACAAAAAAGGTCGACCTCGTACATTTTATAATATTTTTATTTGTAACTGTGAATAATTTTCGCAGTGCGCCCAACACTGGTGGAGATATTAAGTAAACCGACAACGTTATCGTCGGAACGGTACATCACCCTGACGTGCGTGTCGGAGGGCAGCCGGCCGCCGGCGCAACTCACCTGGTACAAGGATAACAGAAAATTTAAAAGGGGAAAGGTAAGCGCAATTTTGGATAAGCTATATTTTTTACGTGACATAAATTTTCATATTTTGCAAAGCGTAGTCCGATGATAATTGCCTATCGTATATCCATTAGGTTTTCCAGTAACTACGTAACGGATATTAGGTGTGTTCCAAAAGAAAAATTGGGTCAAATATTTTAGAGCTAGTTTTGTGAATTGATTTCTGTGTGGAGGTTAATGGATTTTCTTGCTGGCTGCTTAAGCTGACTGCGATTGTTTGGGCTTGATCTTAGCTTGATGTTTTAAGCAATTAACATAAAATTATGATCAGTATAAACATGTATACCACAACTTTCACTATTTCTATGTGCCTAATCCATTAAACCTATTTTTAGAAGTGATTCCAACCAAAAATTTCACCTCATTTTTATAAAATATATTTTATAAAATACCTATTCAGAGTTATTATAGTTGTCAGAACTTGGGGTTTTTACAACCTGTAATGACATTCGTAGATGTTCGTGACAACTAGGACTGATAGCTCAACATGATGTTCAAGGTACGGAAGAGTCACGGCATATTAGCCAATACAGTACTTCTATGAAGCCCCAACTGTTCCAAGAACGATCGATTCTGCTGATGTTGAGCCACAAATTTCTCTAGAATGTATTGATATTCAGACAAATAGTACTGTCTTGGAATCTGTTAAGGATAACAAACATGGGTAACCAAGGAGGAGCCAATAGAGCATATTAATTTATAATCATTTAAAGGAAATACATAGGTATATATATTTATTAAGAGAACTAGCGGACTGCCCCTGCTTCGCACGGGTGTCCGACTACCCCGGTGTCAGTCATTTGTTTTGCAAGTCTACGGCCTTAGCACCAAAAGGGTTGTTAATTCTCGATATTCCCCTTAAGTTTTATAAAGTTTTGCAAAATTAATCCCGGCGTTATTGAGTTATGCGCTTACTAACACATTTTGCTATTCATTTTTATATATTATTATTTATTTATTTATTATAAGCTTCATGCACAAGATATTGTACACAAGGTGGACTTAATGCTTTGAGCATTCTCTACCAGTCTGACCTTTGGGTGATGCAGAGAAGAATACCAATGGCAGATGCAAGAAGCAAGCATGAAATTTTTGAAATTATAACAGGCTGAAGAAAGTATATACCACTATAATAAATCTACACAAATAATACATATATATATCATTCAATACCAAGTAAATACATATATGTATACTTACATATGAACTTACATATAACGTTACATAAATACATACAATCATACACACACTATGTATAGTATATAATGTTATGATCGTTGGCGGAATGTCCAGCTTGGGCCGAGCAGCGCCGTGACCTGGTCGCGGCCGTAGGTGCTGCGGGAGATCTCTCGCTTCCGGCTGTAGTGTCTACTATGGTCGGGAGCGAGTCAGGGTGGAGTGCCGTCGCTATCTTTTGCGAGGCCGTGATGCTCGCAAAGGAGGCGGCGGAAAGGGAGAGAGAGGCTGCCTCCTCTCTTCCCTCCCGCAGCAGACGCACTAGACGTCGTAGAGTGGCCGACCTGCGGCCACCGTAGGGCGCGGCCTGCGGACGACAGACTCGGGGCGTCTAGTCGTCCGACCAGCAGCAGGCCTCGAGGCGGCGGTGCCGTGTTCCGCGCGCGCCTCATAGTGGAGTCCTGCGGTCGGGGTGACGGCCACAGTGGGTGACGGGGCCCGCCTTACCATCTGGCGGGCCAATACCCGTCGGGGGGTTGCGACGAATGCTTCGGCGATACCCGCCCCTCCGACACATGGGTTATTGGAGGAACACCGGGTTGGTTTTTAGTCAGTAAGAGTCTGACAGTACCCTTCGCCCTTACCCCGAGGGCGGTGGGTCTCCATGAGGATTTCCCAACCCGAAACCAAAAAAAAAAAAAAAAAAAAAAAAAAAAAAAAAAAAAAAAAAAAAAAATGTATAGTATATAATGTTATGATCCTGATGACTCTGCCACTCTCTTTAACAGGAGCTCTCGAACTTTCCGCTTGAACGACAAACGACTGGGAGACATCCTGATATCGGGGGGGAGCGCATTCCACAGAAGAATAGACTGGACAAAGAAAGAAGAATGAAGAAAATTAGTGCGATGAGTAGGGCAATTCAGGAGACGGTTGGTAGATGAACGAAGATATTTAGTGTGATTTGCGCATGTGTATTGAAAGTACGAGGATAGGTAACTAGGCAAAGAAGGAGTATCAAGAAAGGAAAAAAGAGTGGTTAGCGCCCTTTGCTCCCTGCGCTGGCGTATGGGCAACCACTTCAATTGCAGCCGATATGCAGAAACGTGATCATATTTACGCAGGTTGAATACGAAACGAATGCAGTTATTTAGAAGACGGTCAAGTTTGTTGAGGAGATCTGCATTCAGGTCATAGTAACAGACATCAGCATAATCTACTATAGGGAACAACAAGGCTTGCACCAACATTGACTTGGTGGTGGAGGGAAGCAAGTTTTTTAGCCGGTAAAGAGCCCGCAGCGATCCGGTCACCTTTTTACACACACTAGTGACTTGTGCTTGCCAATTCAGATTGTTGTCCATGAGCAACCCCAGATCCTTCACTTCACCACTAAACGGAATGACCGCACCGTCGAACAGAACAGCTGGTAAGGATGAGCTGTCAGCTTTATTTAGAGAACGAGAGCTTCCTATGATAATTGCCTGACACTTGTTAGGGTTTACAGCAATACCGAACCTTTCCGACCAGTTGTTGATGGCAGCTAAGTCGCCATTAATTTTTGTGATAGCATCAGGCAAGTTATCTATACTGGTTTGACAGTACAGTTGTAAATCGTCTGCATACAGATGGTACGCACACCGGAGGTCAGAAGTAATGAAATTAATAAAAATTGAAAATAAAAGAGGTGATAGTATGCCGCCTTGAGGAACGCCAGCTTTTAATTCGCGCCATATTAGATATATTAATATCATGATTGTAAATGTAGCGCTAAACGGCACGGACCCCGAGCACTGAGTGCCGCGCACGCCTCAAAGAGTTAATAGACCACCACAGATGGGGTCCCATATGGGCTAATGTTCAGCCAGGGTTGCAGGGCAAGCGCAATGAAGGAACGGGGGGATATTTAGTTGGTAAGAGTCTGACACTCCCTCTAGCTGCACCCTGGGTGGGAGAAGTCATTTGGTGATTTTTCCCTCATCAACAAAAAAATGACACGAACTACGTTCGGAAATAGAATAATGGTCATTAATATTTAAGTACATATACTATTACCACATAAAATGTATTATATCTTTTATTGTTCGTAGATAATAGAAGCTATGAACGAGACGTGGGTTAGCAGTCAGGTCCAGTTCATGCCTCTACCAGAAGATGATGGCGTACAGCTAAAATGTCAAGCGGACAACAACGCATTACCAGGACAGAGTCTCGAAGACTCGTTCAAGCTAGATGTAGTTTGTAAGTACTCATTGAATATTATATACCTACCTATCATAAAGTGTGAAAGAGACATGAACGGGTCGTGCTCTACCAGAGTGATACCACAGCTTTACAGAAAACCAGCGTGAAACAACTACGAGTAAGATTAATAAAAGCCCAATACTTCTCCTGTCCCCATCCCTCTTCAGTCCTTAAATATTTAATCCCTAATTCCCAAAAAGTCCGGCAACGAATGGGCGGCCTCGATTGCTTACCTTCAGGTAATACATCAACTCGTGTGCCGACCTATGTATGTATAAAAAAATGCCTACTGTGTCTGTGCAATTGCTATTTATTGCAAATTGAACGTGTAAGTTAGAATCAAACTTAAAATTTAAAATTGACACAGATAATAACATTTTATTAACACTAATGATGTATGGGATATTAATCATCGGGACTTTTGACTTTGATCTTAGCTACAACATAAAAAACAAATGAAAACTCTTTGAAATATTCACCTAAAAAATAAGCACTATGTGTATTGAAGACAGAACAACAGAAAAAGCTAGTGTTTTTGATATAATCCAAACTTATTGAGGCGAGTGACCGTGTGAGGAATGTATTCTCTTTTACTGTCTCATCATATAGGATCCTTAATACACAAGCCTGATGGAGGGATTTCATGGCAAATGACACATTTTCCTGTCCATTTTCGTTCCACGCGTTTTGCCCCACCAATCCTTTAATCCGGCTCCGGGCTCTATGATACACATAATATTATGATATTACGTACGGTACGACATTTTCATAAATCAATTATATTAATTTTCCAGTGTTGTCCATGTGAATGGATTTTGTTCTTATCACTATTTGTGTAGGAAGTTTAGTTTGTTGTATTTGAGGACCTTTACTTAACTGTACGTATTAAGTTTAACAATTAAGTATTGATTTAGTTATAATGACTTCTAGTTACACCCTAGAAGATGGCAATGTATTTACATACAAAAAAATGTTGAGCAATTTAAGTTTAACAGCACAAATTTCACACGAATCTAAGCTTTCATAGCCTAATGTTTGGAAAAGCAATATAGAACAATTTATTTCTCTTCTTTAAGTTCTAAAATTCTATAAAATACCTAATGTCGTTTATTTGATTTTTTTGCTGCAAACTTGGCGTTTCTGATAGTCCTATCCGTTTATTTGCGAGTGTCGAGCCAAGTTTTTATTTGTTTCTATATTCCTTTTATTTTAACGTTCAACGTTGAGAAGTTCACATACAGTTGCGAAACTTTGCCAGTTTTGTGAGCTCTCACTTTATAGGGATGAAAGAATGGCAATGTTTAAACACAAAGGAAACAGTCTTATAATAATATAAAATGTGTTGTAATTCTTTGCATAAATTCGCATTTTCCTTGCAAAGTTAAGTTGAAAATATGGACAGTGCATAACGTAGAAAATGTTTTGAATTTCTTCACAATTTGTTTGTTAAATAACAGATGATCAAAGGATCGTTGCTTTCGGTATATGGCTATTTCTTGCCAAAAATATAATTGAATCACTATTTACAGATTTACTAATAGACATCAAAATTCCGTGTGATTAAATTTTACTGACCAGCATCAACTTTTCGTTGTCTTGCCCAATAGGAAATTGACAAATGAGACACTATTGGACATTCAATTCTGACAGCTACCTTGATTGGACAAAACTAACCTCCTTCTAGACACGAGCCATCTAGTAAGCAATAAACTAACCTTTAGCTAGCTCTAGCTAAAGCAGTCATTATCCGAAAATCGATGATTTTAAAAATCGAATAGAATCAATTAAGATTATCTTATCCATCCATTCTGTCATATGTTTATGCTATTTCTTTTTTTTTTCCATATCCAAGAATCTTTCTCTTTCCTCGCCTTCGAGTATTTTAATAAGTCGCCAATCCACGTGATGGGACCTCCTTCCTTACCATTTCCAATTAACATTACTTCTTAATTTGTTAAAACTCATTTTCAAAATGAATATAGCTCCAAATAAGCTATAAAGGAGCTCCGTATAACCAGTTTGCACATATCTGACGTCGTTGCGTTTAATTATTATTACTGCTTAAGCAATTGCTTGGCCTAATGATACGTCTGCCATCAAATCTGAACACATTGTCTTTGTTAACCCCCTGTAGGAGAAAGTTGAGAGGGTACGCGAAATGAAAGTGTTTTATTACTTTATTAAGTGTGAGGGAAACATGCTTTGGCACGAATGGGTCCGCTCGACCACCGCCTTACAGGTAACCGGCGTGTAACAATCACAGTACCGTAGTAGGCCCAATCTTTCCCAATCCCTAAATCTCCAAATCCCCAATCCCTAAACGGTCGGCAAGGCACTCGTTACTCCTCTGTTGTTTGAGGGTGTCCATGGGTGGCGCTGATTGCTTAACATCAGGTAATCCGAAAGCTCGTTTGCCGACTTATCAAATAAAAAAATATTTTTATTAAATTTTATTTAAGACACTTAAAATTTACATTTAAGTCATTCACGTCATGTTTATTCGTCAAATAGCATTAGCATACTAAGTTATAAGTGTCTTTTAACTGTATGTGTGTTGTGCATAAATAATAAAAAAATTAAGAATGTCGTGAAAAAAATTTATTAATAAAAATATGATAAAATTTATTGAAATAGTTAACTGTATTGGAAAGTCGAAATATTTTATTTTCCATGTGATATGAAAAATTTTAATACCATATCAATTTTCAACTTCTCGTTTTTTATAAAAACTAACGACTTACGCACCTTACATTACTGAAAAAAGCTCTACTAGCTCGACGTGGCCGCGATACGCACGCTGCTCTTGAATAAGAGTCCCGTTGTGACTTGAAACTTTTCGTAGAGCTTTTCTCAGTCGATTCACGTTAGTAAATAGTTTTTCAATACTACCTATCAACCTATTTATTAATGTACTTATTGGTATGTTTCACGATAGTTACTACTCAAAAATATTTGTCAAATATATTCAATCGATTACAAAATTCTGAAACAGAGTAATACCTTCAATATTCATTATTTTCCTTCAGTTATGAAGTCAAACGTCAAAGTGAAATCATTGAGGCATTGTTCGACTCGGAAAAGTTTACCTCAACCCAAGTTGGACGTTTTCGAATTAGGATAAATTCTGCTAATTAGAATTGGTTTGTTAATTTTAAGTTTTTGTAGGTAATATAGCATTTATTTATTGTTATACTTATTCTTCTGTTGTATCGAATTTAATTAGTGTTTGTAGAGAACAATGCAATATATGTACAGAGAATATATATATATATATATATTTTATGTAATTGGTCGGCAAACGAGCAGACGGATTACCTGATGGTAAGCAATCAGCGCCGCCCATGGACACCCGCAATGGAGGAGTTACGAGTGCGTTGCTAACCTTTTAGGGATTAGGGATTTGGAGATTTAGGGATTCAGGAGGGATTGGGGGCGGGGAAGGATTGGGCCTCCGGTAACCTCACTCACACGGCCAAACACAACGCTGAGGTTGTTTCACGCCGGTCTTCTGTGAGGCCGTGGTATCACTCCGGTCGAGCCGACCCATTCGTGCCGAAGCATGGCTCTCCCACACTTAAAATATATATGCAGTTTAAAAAAGATATAGACGGGAGGACGTGAGACGTAGTCACAAATTAAGGATCGGTCAGGGATTGGTTCAAAATTGAAACACGAATCATTTAGAGGATATGCACTTTTCTATTATTCACTTCACTCATTCAATATATACTTTGACTGCACGGTTGGTGCGGTGGCCGGGCAACTGGCTGCCGTGCAATATGTCGCGGGTTCGATTCACGGAACAACTCTTTGTGTGATCTACAAATTGTTGTTCCGGGTCTGGGTGTCATGTGTATGTGGAATTGTATGCTTGTAACTGCACCCACGACACAGGAGAAAATCCTAATGTGGGGCAATGTTTTTTTTTAAAGAAAGAATATAGATATCGCAATACATATCACGCATTTATTTAGTCCACCAAATGTCTATCATTTTAAGCCTAAGATCTTTATCCGCAAATCTTCCCTAAGAACCTTAAGTAATGTTTAAATAAAGTAATTAAGTACTAACAACGTTTACAGAAATAACAGTTTAATGATCAGATTTATATTTTTTATCTTCTTAAATCTAACCGTCGCGTCGCGTCCGACCCTAATCTCGAGTTTTATAATAGAGCTATAAAACAACGCAATGAATAGAAATCTCGACTAAACAACGGGAAAAATGTTTAGGAAAACGCGACGGCCATTAAAAACTAACCCAGTTAACTTATGTACATAAGTAAAGTAAAACAGATTTGTTACTTACGACGTTAAAACGTGTTCGTGTACCGTTTGTTTATACATTTGTTCTTACGTCCTTAATGTAATGTGCTTATCTTGGTAGTTATCTGGCGCGTCGGTTACCGTGAGCCGGCGTGACATAACAAAGCCCGCGGCCAGCTCGGGGACTTGGCGATGCGATGCGTCCCCGACGGAACTTTACTCACTGACAGTTTATCCTGCGCTTCCAACTTGTTGGGAACTAATTCCGTCTAATTTAGACTGCGGCAGGCGGACTCACAAACGCATGGCTTACCCGACACCGTAGACTCGACGGCGACACCTTCCTGTCTGAAGGATTAATTTGGCTTTGTCTGCCGTTCTGCTTACAGTTGACATGCCGTGTTTAGCCTCTACATCGATGTAAGACGGCCAGCCTTGTCCTTGTGGTATACACAAGGCACTAGACTCCGTAATGGATTATGAATTGATGAGGGTCGGAAATACCAACACTAAATAATTAAGTGTATCTGTTTCGTCTGCTTGAGAAGCCCCTATTCTCAAAGCTCAGCTCACGCTCAAAACATAAACGTTATTTAATTAACAACCCTAATTAGCAACAGCCCGAAATATATCTATTTAAACGGTCCCTGTGCGTAATATAGTCAACTCATTTAACACGTAACAGGCCCTGTCAACATTTCGGAACAAACAACCTATCTAACAATATTAAAAGCTTGTATGCGCCAACATGAGAAACTCAGTAAAACGTAATTAAAACCTTGTTAGCGCCGGCGAGCACACAACATCAACACTTAACATCCGCTGAGGACTCGCCAAAAACTAATTCGGACTAGTGGGAACGGCCAACCCCGCCCCGCCACAGGATCCGGATCGCAAAACGCTCTAAGGGATTAAGCCGGCTTAACGTAGCCGCTGCGTTTACATTCTAATAGTAGAACATAACTTGTCAATTCGTTTATGCGTAAACGGGTCGTACGAAGCCAGCGCCTGGTCACGGAGCCGTAACATTTTTGCTAAACCCCGCGGACAATCTGATCACTCAATTAAGACACTAATTCCTCAACGGGCCGGTCAAATCTTGAAAAGCCAGGAAACGTGCTGACTCTATTACGACAGAGGAAATTAATTTCCAAATATAAATAAATTCTATTTACTTCTGCTCGGCGAACCGTAACGTATTTAAAGCGGGGAGAATTCGCCGCTCACGGCGTGAATCGTTTTGGCAACAATTTAAACGGAGGAATCGTAAATGTTTATTTGGAGAACGGGCGTTTCCTCCGGCCGCGGGGCGACGTCGTTATAGGTCTTTAATGGCCAATAAAGTGTCAACGCCCGCTCCTTGCCTCAGATAAGTGTTCACCTGGAGTAAAAACGCTTTCCGAAGAGACAGCTCGGAAATAGACCGGCAATAATGGCGGACCTTTGTCCTGACCATATAAAAATAAAAATTACATCGTTGGAAAAACAATACTATTTAACAAAATAACAAAAAGCTTTGAAGTTGATGTTATTAAAGTAACTTTACTAAACAGGTAAATCCTTTTTGTTGTCATATCTTTGACTCTGTTAATTAGGATGAGAAGTTACTTTCAAAGACGTCTAAGAAATACTTTATCACTTGAATATGATAAATCGTTCATACTTTAGGTAAAATGTTTCATTTCCCGTTTTCATTCTTCTACTTTGAATTAAGTTGGTAAATAGGTCGTTTTTATGTAAGATGGTAAGCAATCAGCACCGCTCATGAAGTTACGAGAGCGTTGCTGACCTTTTAGGGATTAGAGATTTGGAGATTTAGTGATTGGGGAAGGAGAAGGATTGGGCCTCCGGTAACCTTAATCACACGGTGAAACACAACGCTATGGTTGTTTCACGCAGGTTTTCAGTTAGGCAGTGGTATCACTCCGGCCACTTTAATATTATTGCGTCCTTTATAAGGGATGTTTACAATAGGGTCAGGGACATTACCTAAGCCCCGATTACAGAACAACCCGCAGACTCGGTGACAACAATCACAACATGATTTAGTACTTAGCCACTATCCATGAATATTATTTCTACCTGTTTACATGTAATATAATCCTTTTGTATGTCCATCTATATTTACGAAGCGTAATCCCTCTAATTAGTGTATCAATGTGACTTAGAGGAATTAAGTTGGTGGGCCGGATTTGGAAATTTAAAGGTCCAATTATGTCCCTTAATAACAAGTTCCTTGAGTAGACCTAAGTAATATCTAAGTATAATCTTTGCTTTTAAGTAAATCAATATTTCTATGACACATAACAATGTACTCTAAGGAATTTGATATATCCAGGTAACTTTCTTTAGCTCGTTCGTTAGTATACAAGTCCCAAAAATAAGCTATAAATATTCTCAAGAAACCTTTTCTTAGAGTGAAGATCTTTTTCATAGGAAAAAATCTAGTTCTAAAAATATGAAAGGGTATTGAAAAGCTAGGGTTGACAGAAAAGTGTAAGTAAGCCAAGGACCACATAATCCTTTCACTATAAATATGAAAATAGATTTTGTTAAAAAAGCATTAATTTATACATAAATAAATAATTTTTACTTATGTATAAAAGTTAATGATTTTTGAAAATTATTTCAATATGTATTGTGTAAAAAATTGTATGATTTTGAAATGAAGCAAATATTTTCGAAAAACCACTATCACTGATATTGACTGTCTGACGGTCTATATTCGTAGGGAGCGAGCATATTTTTTCCATCCTCTTTAGACGGAACTCTGCTTTGTCATCGTTTTATGGGCCTTCGATTTCAACCAATGGGTTTTAAGCTTTCTACAGACCTTATTTTTGCTCTTTTTATTCCATGGCAATTCATTTTTAATAATAATTCTTATATTTGATATTTGTTTGGCGTGGCGACGCGCATAGAGGATGACGTCACAAACTCTCGCTTAGGCGTGTAACTGAAGTTTCCTAGCTATTAACATGGATGGAAAATCCCAACGTACCACTGTTTGGTAGTAGCCCACCAAACATGATCAACTCGCTAGGTATTACTCTCTCCGTAGTTGCAGCTAGGTAAAAGTACTGCAAGCTTGGCCTGAAACTTGAGAAGGTGTTTTTAAATCAGGAAGTGTCTAAAAACCCCCTGTTGTTATCAACCCAGAAAAGTAATATGATGTTGAAAATAGACTTTCTCTGTGTTACATAAACTTGTTCAATTACTTTTCCTTTTGAATTAATCAATTCTAAAGGGCCTCTAGACAAACGTCTGCTAATCAAGTATACATTGACCAAATAGTAGGTTGGATCAATTAATAGTAGTAAAAAGTAGTAGGCTTAAACAACAAAAAGAGTCAAATTATAAGCACCCACAATCGACGAGCATCCATGGAGAGATTAATGAGTGTAGATGAATCGAAGGAGATATGCCAGAATCCCGTCATATGAACCCTTATTACTTTGGCTACCGCAATAGGAAACCGATTTGCCTAACAATACGAATATAATATTCATATACTTGCACGATAGTGTAATCATATGCCATCACTATGTATGTATATTGTATATAACAAAGTCGCTTTTTCTGTCCCTACATCTCTATGTATGCTACATATGCATAAATCTTCAAACATACGTAACGGATTTTGATACGTATTTTTAATAGATAGATTGATTGAAGAAGAATCTTCATAATATGTATAATAGCAATTCAGTAAATAATGAAAAATTAACCTACGAACATAGCTATAAGGTTCTTTTTTGTTGCAGATCCTCCAGTTGTTTCATTATCACTAGGAAGTACGTTGAACCCTCACGACATCAAGGAAGGTGATGACGTGTACTTCGAGTGCTCGGTTCGCGCCAACCCCAGAGAACATAGGATATCCTGGTATCATAATGTAAGTAGCGAACTTATTACTTTTAAGACAGTCAATTCAGGTTCATGCGGGAAATAAGGTTGGGAGAGCCATGCTTCGGCACGAATGCGTCGGCTCGATCTCACATAAGAACGGCAAGCTAGTTTTGCCGTGTAAGTGAAGTTACAGGAAGCCCAATCCTTCCTCCCCTTATCCTGAATCCTCAAATCCCCCTATCATTAAGTACCTACCCATAAGAGACCTGCAATGCACTCGTAACTCGAACGATGTCCATGGGCGGCGCTGATTGCCGACCAGCAGGTAATCTGTATGCTTATTTGCCGACCTATGCATAGCAAAAATTGCTTTATTTTTGAGGATAGAAAAAAGTGCAATTTTACTTTCATATACATACACAACAAATGAAAATTAAAAACAAAAAACAAACGTCAGCAAAATGCACGCCGATGAGTCGATGCCACTTAAAAGAACAGAACTTCATTCGATAACTAATTTACCAATTAATAAATAAATAAATAAGTCAAAGTCAAAATAAAAATAATTTATTCCAACTAAAACATAAACAGGTACTTTTGAAACGTCAAAATAGAATATAGTCAGTCAGTTTGTCAGTAAAGCTAGGTGCTCGTCCCAAAGTGTAGATTATTCGAATCTACACTTTGATTGACTTGAGAAGAACAAGCAAAAAACTTCATAGTTAGGTACTCATAAAAAACAAATCTAAGAAAACCATAAAAACATCTAACTAGCTGTATTTTTCCAGTAAATCTAATTCCAAGAAATAAAAAAGTAAATATTTATTAACTTTCCTTCGAAAACTTTCGCATTACAACGTATTCTTGCAGAAATAAATTAATAAATGAAGAAAAACTTAAGTTTATTTGGCTTCTTGAACTAATAAAAATACTTGCTCCGTCGAAGAAATCGATATTTACTGCTAATGAGTGGTATAGTAATCATACTTAGCAAATGGATTAATGATCGCAGTGTGTTGCTAATAGCTCCCGAGGCGACGATCCATCCATTTCACATAAACTCTGTCTTTACGACATATTACTACAGGTGGTACTTATCTGTTCCCGACTAAATCTAAAAATAACTTGCAACCGAAAGCCATTATCATTAGGTTATATTTCCTTTGAAACTTCTGGTTGATCATGATCGTATACCGGGTGTAAGGGACAGCGTCCCGCAAACTGATAGGGGTTGCTCAGTCAACGAAACAGAATAACTATCACCAGGATTTTTTTTCAGGAAACGAAAAATAATGCTTTTCCATACAAAATGATCATCTCGATCAGACAATTTGTATGGAAAATCAAATGTTTTTTTTTCGTTTTCTGAAAAAAGTACCTGGTTATAGTTGTTCAGTTTCGTTGACTGAGCAACCCCTATCAGTTTGCGAGACACTGTCCCTTACACCCGGTATGTATTTCGTTATAATATAATTTAATAATGCAGCCTCAGTTATTAACTGTCATTACCTACTTGAAAATAACGAGTAAAAACACACATTTTCACATTCACAAAGTGTTTAAATCCATCTTATACATTTTAAATTATCGTACATTTTAAATTCGATACGCAAAAATTTTCAAAGAAGAATTTAAACATTGAACATGAAACACGAGATTTTTAAGCAGACGACTCATTAAAAACCGTCCCCCGTTCCATCCATCGGTATTTCATTAAAGGATCATGAATATTCATTGATGTATTATTATCACGGCAGTTCGATTTAATAATAAACTTACAATTGATTGATACGGTGTGGATACTTGTTAACACAATAAAGTGGGGCTGACGAATTAGATTAGCGAAGCGGAGGCGACAAGGGTGATGAATTACCAGTCTGACTTGAAGATCTGTTCATTATCGGACCCCTATTGATTACGTCATCACTCTTTGATATTGATGTAAGCCTTCCACACTGATTATGATTAAAGATTCATGAGTATGCTCAGAATCCTTATTATGTGTGCGTGTTCTTTATAAATCTTGTTAATGTTGATTATTGTTATAGCTGTGTATTGATATTGTTGTCAGATTACATTAATTTTTCAACCAGTTTTCAAACTTATATCTTTATAATAAGGTGCAAGGTCATTGTCATATGCTATGCAGATTATTAGAAGCACCTATGCAGTTATTTTAGTGTAGGTAGTTATTAGACTTCTAAAACAAGAAAATTCTCGGTACTACTTTATATTCAATTTCAAGATTTATTTCTTCTTTACACAAAACAGTCTGACTAAATGCCTTAAGGCATTCTCTACCAGTCAACTATAGGTTGGTGCACAGAAATTAGTCATAAGTGGCAAGCAAAAATAAGAGAAAAAAATAATAATTTGAGATTAAGAATCATTTTATTTTATCCTTACTTGTACCTAATACATATTTAAATACATAATTAATACAAACAAATTCTATCTCCATGATATAATCGTAAGCACAAAATTCTGTATTCTATTCCCAAAAGGATGAAAAGATATATATATAGAATTCCTAATTATCTAACGTTGTTATCTAAAACCTAGATACTCTTACTCGGAAATTTCTGGCTACTGATTAATTTCTAATAACTTTCTAACCAGTGGATACGTAAAAGTAGCGTGTTCATTCTATAATGCTGGGAGCGTGGGCGAACTCGCAAGCCAATCTAAAACTTAGTCTTAGGATTAGGACAATTTGGGTAGTGGGTCGAGCGTTATAATATATCCACCTGGACCAAATGAAGGAACGGGGGTATTGTAGTCAGTCAGAGACTAACACATCATCATCATCAACAACCTGTAAGTGCCCACTGCTGAACAAAGGCCTCTTCTCACACGAAGAAGGTTTGAGCAATAATACCTCGCTTGCTCAATGCGGGTTGGCGATTTCAAACTTATATTTTGAATTATAAGTACAGGTTTCCTCACGATGTTTACCTTCACCGTATGTCAGTGGTGTCTATATAGTCATAGAAAGAACATATAACTCGGAAAAAGTAACATTGGTACTTGCCAGGTTTGGAACCCGCACCCTCATGCATGAGAAGCGGGCGCTTTACCTGCGGGCCACCACGACGTTTTGATCACATAGATCGCACAATCCCCATCACATAGATCAGTCAACAACTGTGCGATTTACGCGAAACTTACACTAGTTTATTGCAAGTAAAAAAAAAACTTTGGAATGATTTTCCGGTTTAACTTCAAACCTTCAATAAACGAAAGTACTCCTTCTTAAAAGGCCGGCAAGGTGCCTGTTAGACCTCTGGTATTGCAGGTTTCCACGGGCGGTGCCGATCACTTACCATCAGACAGGCGATCCGCAAGGTCGTTTGCCCCCTTTTCCATAAAAAAAACAACATAACACTCCTTCTCGCCCCAATCAGGGCAAGAAGGATCATGGTAAATTGCACGCTTAAAAAAATAATTAGGACTATTTTGACGTTTTAATAGCTGCCTAAATAGAGTAGGTATTCGGGATATGTATAAATAAACACTCAGTAACCAATTGTGATGTGTAGAGATAAGTAGCTCAATTAACCTGATGTTGCGTCCAGAATAGGATTAATGCGTCGGTCGAAAATAAGCTAAAACAACGATAGGTACTATTAAAAAGTGGTGTTCCGACGCATCAAATATGAAACTACATTTTAGTATTCACACAAAAGTTCATAGACTTATTGACACGCATCGTATTTATGATTGAAAATAAGAATTTTATTTGACAATGTTTTTTTTAATTTCTATTCTAATAAGGCAATAAATGTACACCTTAATTACATGGGGCTCGTAAAAAAACAGTAAAAATGGAGTATTTGGCAAACAAATTAAGTATAAACAAAAACCTCCTCCTGCCACTCCAAAGATTAAACATTATCATGTTACATTTCGTCCAATTTAGCTACTCTCCCGCGGTTTCACCCGCTGCTTGGCTCCATTTAATCGTAGCGTGATATTTTATAGCCTGTAGCACTCAGGAACATTGTAGCTATCTATCAGTGAAAGAATTTTAGCAATCCGACCAGCGATTCCAAAGATTACCCCCTACATACAAACTTACAAATTTTACCTCTTTATAATATTAGTATAGAAAACTTTCTCTTGCCACTCCAAAGATTAAACATAATCATGTCACATTTCGTCCAATTCAGAATAAAGTTAAAAAAAATTATAATATACATCGCCATGCACGGATAGATTACGTTAGGTTGCCAAGCAACTGACTCCTACGCAATGTTGCAACAACTCTTTGTGTAATTCTTGTAAGTACTCTTTTTCCACGACACAGGAGAAAATCCTAGTGTAAGACCAACTTTAAAAAACAATGCTCTATAATGTAGATCAAGACAGTAACAAAACGATTTGTCATTCCCAAAGTGACCAAAAACTATTAATACAAAAGCACAATCATGAAACATTGATGAAGTACATATTAAAACAAAGTGTACCACGTCAACATAATCTAAATTACATTTGAATAAGTTGGTTGTAATCATAACATTCGTTCGTGACCTTTATCAAACTTGAAAGCCCTCACGAACTTTTAATACGTTAACCATTGATTTGTTATTTTATGTCGTACACAAACTATGAACTATACACAATATAAACTATCTTTTGAGCGTGGGTTTGCTTTCGAATGTAAATGTATTTTCTCGGATCATTCACTGCTTTCCTGTTAGATATTATTAGGTTATCGTTAGCGCCTTTTTATAAGTCTTAAAGTAGCGTTTTAAACGTGGGTAAACCGTGCTCCAACTGGCAGCTCGCTACCAGTCCTTAGCAAAAATAGGCCAGCTCGACTGGATTGATATCACGGCCTCACAAATAACCGGCGTGAAACAAACACAGAGGTTACTGAATTCCCAATCCGTAATCCAATCCCTCCCCAATTCTTAAATACCCAAAACCCCTTATTTATTTTCAAAAATGAGCGGCTTCGATATACCCGATAAAGAACCTTGTAGTGTTATAGTGTAAAATACAAATTCATATTATCATTTAACACAATTAATACAAATTAGGATAATCGCTCTGACTATGAATTCCTTTGCTCCTAGGCTGCCTTCGGAGGGCGATAATTAATGTCTTTATTGACTGTGTTGTTGATTGATTGGAAGCAAATGAATCCAATGAGTGAATTTTAAGTTAAAATATTAGATTTCTAAATTAATCTACAACAATGTAATAAAAAAGAATAAGAATATTGTTTGCTAGTTTACATTAATTTCAAATTGATAACAGTAGATTAATTCATAAAATGTTTAAACAATCTTAAATATAAAAATGAATCGCGAAATGTAATGTAAGCATGTAAGCGCATAACTCAAGAACGCCTGGACCAATTTTGTCAAATGTTTTTTTTTTGTATTTATTATTGTCAGAAAAATGTTCTTATCAAAGGAAATTTAAGAAATGTCGAGGGGAAAGTTGTCCCTTTTAGTGAGACTTGGACCTAGGTGAAGCGGGGGCGCGCCGCTAGTAATAATATAAAACTATTGAAACAATATGACAACAAGTGTTTACAACAGCCAGTTGCCAGCCACCGGCCAACCGCGCCTTCAAATCTAATCATTATAATTAATCGTGCAGGATAAGCCAGTCCTTCACAACGTGGTAGCCGGTATAATCGTGAGCACCAAGTCACTGGTCCTGCAGAAGGTGACGAGAGACCACGGAGGGGACTACTCTTGCAGAGCAACCAACGCGCTCGGAGAGACTGCCAGCCAATCCACTCATCTTAGCATACAATGTAAGTAAAATTAAATGTAACTTCATTTTAAAACAGCCAGGGTTGCGATGCCTCTGCGCCCCCAGTCAAGCAAAAGCGTGGTTTTGTCAGTAAGAGTCTGACACTTCCTCTAGCCTCACCCAGGAAGGGAAAAACGATTTAATAATTTTCTCCTCTCCATTAAATTTTAATAGTTCACGAAATTGTAGGAACGTATATTAATACAAATTAAAATAGACTTGTTTTAATTTTTCATTTCTTATAAATCTTATATATTGTCTCTGCACGTTTGTTATTTGTCTAAATATTTATTATTATTATTATTTATGCTTATTGAAGCTGAACCATAAATTTTAGGTATAGATATATTCAAAAATTTCTTTTAAGTAATGACTAACCCACGAGAAATAAGTGAAGAGCTACTAGTTTCAAGTCCCAACTGGTCATTGGGAAGAAGACAATCCGTAGGACAAAACATTCACAAGTGTCAAAAGAAGAAAATCCTAAATATTTCTTAATGCTTGTGGAAACCATATATTTGAAAAGCAAGAGCTTTAGATATCCACTAGCTCCTCATATACTTTTGTACCAACACCCTAATCCCAATTACCATAAGAAAATTGTATAAAAGAAAAGGACTAATTTATGTATTAAATTAAGAACATTTCTTAGCGTACCATCTTAATAATTTCAATTCTTTCATACCGTTCCATGAATTCTAGTCAAATGGAGTGAATTAGTTTTAAATTAAGCGTGGGTCGCGGGTAAATGACAGAGTCAGGTACCTGGAAGTAATGTCACTATCTAATGAAAGGCTAAATTAATAATCTTAGGTATTTTCAATATCTTTTCTTGTTAATCTACTTTAGCATAGCGATTTGTGACAAAGTAAGCAAATGTCCATATAAGTTTAAAATGTTACGATAATTACGAGTATAATTTTAAAGGCTTTTTTTTAAAAAAAAATGACTTTCCTTAACATATAATGTAAAACCAACTATAATAATTAGTGATGGTCAGGGATCGAGGGATCTGTGGATGGCGAGTAAAGGTAGCTCCAGACCAGAAAAAGATGCGAGCGCAAGGCGGTTTGCGTTCCGCACGCATCTCGAAAAGCTAATAGACCATCACAGATGGGGCTTCACAGGGTCGATGTTACTTCACAGCGCAGTAAGCCGCCTCGGTCTAAAGCGAATGGTTAAAAAGGGGTTTTTAGTCAGTAAGAGTCTGACACTCCCTCTCGCCCCACCCTGGACTCTCGACTCATTTGATGATTTTCCCCTCACAAAAAACCTATAATCAGTGATAGACAGCCCATAACAGTTTTGTTAGCGATTTCTTTGTATTCTACATACATACATACAAACATAATACTATTCTCAAAACTGCCAATAATATCTTACAAAACTAGCCAAAACCTCTTCCAATCAGCAAGCCAACCCAACATACAACGCGTCTTAATAACAACCCAAACGATTTCACCTAAAACTCGCCAACGCGACCAATTACCGATGGATTACGTGACATCACTCATAATTCTAAACTGAGATACAAGAACCCAATCAACGGTACAGTACCCGACGATAAATATTGTACATCGACATAATAAATTTACAACTACTTTCTGCCAGCGGTTTGGCCCACGCTTCCTGAGATACGATATCCAAAAATCCCATGTCTTTTTACCTAATTTGATTCAAATCTATTCAGCAGTTTTTGTGATAAAAACCAATAAGCGGTACTTACTTATATATTCAATAACATTCTAATTCACAATATTAGCAGAATGATTCTGAAGAGAATTTAGGAAAAATACTTACTGATATGAGATTACAAGTTCACCAAAATGAAAGATAATTTAATTTTATAACTTAATAAAAAGCACGATATATGTCTCAAACGCTTGAAAACAAAGCAGACGGGTCAGTCATCTGATAGTAAGCTATCGATACCGGAATAGCGAGGAGTTACAAGTGAGTTGCCAGCCTTTTGAAGTAATTAGTAAGTATTGGAAAATTTAGGGATTTAAGGGATGAGAGAAAAGATTAAGCCTTCGATTTCGTTACACGGTGAAACACAACGCAAGCCAATTTGCAAGCCGATGTGCAGTGTTTATTGCCATATAGTATACAAATGTATGAACTGAAAACATGATGCTACGGTCGCAATTAGTGACTTCAGCAGCTCGTGTAAGGTTCACCACCGCATCTAGTTAAAGTTAACTTCGCTACTGAAACTTATTGTACTCACAAGCTTAGTTAATGAGAAAAGGCAAAGTTGACATTCGATGTTTTGATGTTAAATGTGCAGAAACTTGATAGAGTCAATAGATTGGTGATTTAAGCAATAGTAATGTTCTTTTAAGATTATAAGATTTTTTGATTTACGTTGCCTGCGTTTTCGTGGAAAGTACTGAACTATTTTTTGTCAAGAGTTGGTACTGAAACTTGGTACTTTTGCTCATTATTAATGGCAATATTTATTATCAACTAGCGGCTCGCCCCCGCTTCGCACGGGTCCAACTATCTCGCTATCAAAGGGTCACTTTTTCCCAATTTTACAAAAAAGGAATTAGCAAAATTGGTCCAGGCGTTGTTGAGTTATGCGCTTACCAACACATTTTGCGATCCATTTTTATACAAATAGATATATAACAATGGTGAATTTAATACTTTGTAAGTATTAAATTTACACAATATGTCTTGGGTTTTTTGTGTCATATACCAGATATGGAATGGATGGATGATATGGAAATCCTGGTTTTATGTTTGTGGTCAGTCAAAATATTCTCTGTAAGGAGCCTGATTGATCTATACTTTTTTTATACAAATGTTCACTTCTTACAACACAGTCTCCAAAACCCTAAAAGTAGATTATCACACAATTACCTTATCCCCCATACGATAAAATGTTTCCCCATTTTTACGTTGTCATAAACTTACTCAACAAATAAACACAGAGTGAATAAACTATTATACTAATAAAAATACCGACTATAGAAGAGCCAGTAAGTAAATTGTTGCTTAGATAACTTCCAGCTGGAATCGACGCGTCTTTTGTTTTCCTATTATAAAACAGAGTGCTAATAAATTACGTTTCATTTCGCTGGAGGCTTTTCGTCGTCTGCTGACTGCTGCATCAATCATTCTCACAAAGATCTTAACAAAGATTTGTTACAGTCAACGCAGTGCCACAGTACAATGTATTGAAAATAGAATAATTCCATTTACTGATAAACACGAGCAATAAATTACAATAAAGGAGATTAGGAACGCTACATCTGTCTTCTTGGCCGGTGTGATGTATGTAATGTACTCGCGGCCCGGAATAATGCCAGGATAATGAATCCTCCTTTATACATACAATTTTTGAACACGTTCTACAAAATTGAGTAATATTCATGAATAGACACTAATTACATTATGAAACCGTACAACCCATACACACAGATATACATGATCCCAAATTACTCGTATTAAAGCGAGGCGCTACTTTTGTTCAATAATTGCGTATGTATCTATAGTACGTACATTCGTGTCGAGAATTTCTGTTCCCCACATAACACCAGAAACACTCCATTTTATGGATGAAAGAATCGTTCGTGCGCTTGCTAATGAGCGTGCAATCAGCTGCTTCACCAAAACATTTTGGCAATAGGCCAGACTACGCTAGTACACAGGGGGCTAATATTCCAGCTATTTGCCGACAATACGCCGATAGAAAAAATCCTTAACCGCAAAATGAACAACACGATATTGATCGTTAAGTGTGTGCAAACTACTATCCCGGGGGATTAATTTGCCACGCGGAGCAATGCGTCAACAAACAAGTTGTTTTAGTGAAGTGGTGAGGGTGAACTTCGACAGGCAGTCGTCAGAGTCACCGCGCGACTATCAATCATCTTGGAAGCTAGCTCGAGAAGATTTACGTGGGATCCGTCACCGCGGGCGGCGGCGACACGACACGGCCGGCCGATCTGCGACAAATGTACAGCTCCGACCCTCCCTACTATTTGTTACCGCACCGCTGTTTTACTTTTGCACCGCTCGCTGCCGACAGTTTGTTTCCATTTTATTGATCCTTACCGTCACAAATCTAAGGCGAAGAAAATGTACGTTGTTATTCGCACGCGGTACACGATCGCTGGCGCCGGTGTTACATTAATCCACATACATATTTTCATATTCCCGCTACAGTAATCCTACCGAGGTAGGGCTGCTTAACGCGAGCAAATATTTGAGAGTTTAATGAAAATCTAAGGCAGCTCGGGAGCGCAGTTTTGCAAGTAGATATCTAAATGAATCACAGTCGCTGACTGCGCCTGCTCCGGAGGGGAACAGTTGGGCGATAAAATTTATATATCGTCTAACTTCTGTTATGATTTAACGAACTGTATTCGGGTCTCTTTTAGCTCTTTGTTAATTATGGCATTCTTGCTTGAGAGCTTTTGAGACAAAATCTTTGTTGAATATAACGCTCCGGTTTGTTCGTTAAGTGCTGAATATAATTTAAAAGAATTTGAACTACCGTTTCTGTGTGTAACATTTCTGTTTCGCTAATGAGAAAATTCTTACGGAAATACTGCATTGCAACGTTTGATACGAACATGTGAGTAATGTTTGCAATTCTGGTGTTGATTGCCTCGCTACGTATTAATTAGACTGTGCTATATTTACTATTTTCGATTGAATAAATTGGTCTAGTAGGAATATCTACTTTTTTTACATGTAACTCTTTAACCATAATTATAACTTTTATCTGTATTTAAATCATTCTTCTCTTGTAGTCGGCATACTTACAATCTTTTTACAGGAATTTTAGAATTTTATCATCATTTATGAAATAACAATACAATTTCAATTACTTATTTACCCCCGGTTTCCGAAAGGCCGATCAATGTTAAAATCAATTTAATCTCTTGTCAAGTCACCTGATTGGTTGACTGAATTATCAACAACCAATCAGATGACTTGACAAGAGATTTAACAGGAGATTAGTTAATTTTAGCGTTGACAAGCCTTTCAGTTAGGCTAGATTTTAAACCTCTATTTTTTTCTTGTATTTAGATGCTCCAGTATGCGCTCATCCGTCGCCACAAGTGCTGGGCGCGCAGTTGGACGAATCTTTGCGCGTGCGCTGCTCCGTAACTGCCAACCCGCCTGACGTGAATTTCTTCTGGCAGTTTAACAACAGCGGGGAAAGTCTCGAAGTATCACCGTTGAAATTTGGTAATTATTAGTTTCTATCCTACAGGCAAAAAAAGTCATTTATTTCAATTAGACCTTTACAAGCACTTTTAGACGTACTGGACTTATTGTATAATGACTATATAGTATAACACAAAGTCGGTTTTTCTGCCCCTATGTCCTTATGTATGTTTAAATCTTTAAAACCACGCAACTGATTTCGATGCAGTTTTGTTTTAAGATAGAGTAATTGAAGAGGAAGATTTATATGTATAATAACATCCATTAAATAGTAAAGAAATTTAGTTTCAAGCCGGGGTGGCTATAAGGTAAGGAATGACCACTGACCATAGACACCTACACATCAAAAAGAGTTACAAATGCTTTACCAGTCTCCCGTAACTCCAATTCCAAGTAAAATACAATGCAAGCATAGTTTAACGCAGGTCTGTATGGACTGTGCGGCCCGTGTGATGTATGTTAGTCCAAACTTATATTATAAATGCGAAAGTAAGTAAAGTAACTCTGTCTGTATGTCTTTTCTTCACGCCTAAACTACTGAACTGATTTCTGTGATATTTGGTATAGACATAGTTTGGAACTCCACAAAGGACAAAGGATAGTTTTTATACCAAACATCTACAGGAAGTCACTATAACGCGAACGAAGTCGCAGACAAAAGCTAGTTCTTCAAAAAAAAACATATTTTTCTAGTAACGCTCGATTGATGGTTTTTTTACAACTACCAAAAACAACATCTTTTCGGCTGTGAGGAAAAATAATGTTTAAAAAATATTTATTCTACTAACATAAAAATGAATCGTCTTATTCAAATAAAGCATTACATAATATAATACGAGTATCTAAGTAAAATCGTTTAATGTCAAGTCAATTGTGTAATACAGTGTCCTTGGAGTTTTATCTAGTGTTCTCGGAATCAGAGATACACGTGGAATTATTATTGTAAAATTTCTATCATGGCATGGCATGTACTGGCTAGAAATACACTTTTGTTTATTTATTTATTTAAACTTTATGTAACAAAACATTACATAGGCGGACTTAATGCCGTAGGCATTCTCACCAGTCAACCTTAGGGTGATGCAGAGAGAGTATGGTAGGTGCAACAAGAAGAGAACTTTGAGAAAATAAATTAAGATTTAAAAATACCACAAGTTCTGGGTTCTGTTCTGGGTGTGATTTTTATAAGAATTTTTGTTTGCAAATATCCCCAAGATAAAGAAAAATTCCTTATATAAATAAGGCAACGTTTAAAAAACCATAATACATCTCAGAACATTATTGGTCTTACTTAAATAAAGTAAATAGAGACACATAAACATATATACATAGGTACTATTAAAACCTAACCAAGCTGATTGACGCGATGGCCGGGCAACTAGCTGCCGTGTTACGGTTTCGTTCGTTCCCGCACTGAGCAACCCTTTGTGTGTGCATTAATCTAATTCCAATCCTCATATCCCTAAAAAGCAGGCAACGTACTTGTATCTCCTCTAGTATTGCTTCTAATACTATAATAATTATGTCCTATATTTAAACAATAACTCTACAAAAGAAAGTCACAGTATTTGTAAATTTCTAAACGGAATGCTTATTAACAATCTGTCTTCTGTTAGGTACAGCGAATGGCAGTACCAGTGAATTAAGCTATAAGCCACAGAGCGAGCGAGACTACGGAACCCTGAGCTGCCGTGGTACCAACACTGTGGGCCGACAACTAGACCCTTGCGTCTTCCAGATCGTTCCAGCTGGTGAGTTACCCCATCTGCTTTAATATATTTAAAACTAGCTTCCTACCGCGGCTTCGCCCGCGTGGCATGTTGATAAATCAAATCAAATCCTTTATTTTATCTTTAAACTACAACAGTTACTTTTGAAAAACAAGCAGATAAAAATATAAAATATTTAACATTATACATGTCAGCATGTCCGTCTGTCCTGTACTGAAGTTATTTGGTCTTTCTTTTCCATAGCAATCTACACTTTGAGATTCCTATGGAAAAGAACGAGCAAGAAACTCTATGTTTACTCTTTTTCAATCAATTTCACAATATAGGTACAATTAGGTATATTAAAAGCAGCGTATGGGTTATCCAGGGTCAACTTGCACTTTTTGTGTGAAAGAATAAAAAAACATACATATTTATAATGCCAAATTAGATTAAAATGTGCTCAGAATTTCAATACAAAATGAATTCTTAGTGTCTTGAATCGCTGCGATTTTTGTACAAAACGAATCCTATCGACATTCGCATATAAAACAAATGTAAAGCAAAAAACGAATTACCCGCAAAATGAACCTTAATTACGTAGCAAGCCCGCAATCAGAGCCAATATACTCCAATTGAAACCTGCGCAATGCATCTTCCTCTGTATTTATAAATGCATAGGGAATACAATGCAATAACTCGAGTTTACAAAAGTCCAAAATGTCGGCACCGAAATGAACACTTCAATAAAAGCATTAATAAAACCGCGTGCACACAATTTGAACCAACAACGAGGCCGAACTTTCTCTACGTTTATATATCCAGCTTTCGGCTTTCGGCCTTTTATAACCGCGTGCCAAATCTCATAACTTCTCGCTGGTGACGTATAATTTACCTCGAACTACTAATATTGGCAGAGAAATGAGAAATGTGATTTATGAAATTAATTCTAATGAATTTTGAACTAGCAAACCAACAAACAACACATTCAATCGACTACGTTATTTTAGCTGACATAATTCCAACTAGTACTTCGAACCGCCTAAGTACATTACACAATTCGAAACATAAATTAATCTAACAGCACGTTTCAATTAAAGAAGAAAAATACGAGCGAGTAAATTGAAACTTTGTTAAAATATATGAAACTGTACGCGCGCTGCACGGAACGTACCGACGAAGCCGTGCATTATCTTTTTATTTTCAAATCTCGTTATTTTATAGGAACGGTAGCAACTGCAACGTGCGCTTATAATACTGATGCGCACGAAATATTACTTAGCTGTAGAGCGCAATGGGAATATCACAAAACCGCGGTTTAATATCTCCGCAGCTTCGTTATAACATATTCGTGTTAAATTGTCACTCGCTTACCATAAGTCAAGGCAAAATTAGTGAGTTTAGCGCCCTCTGCAGTTCATTTTCATTTCTATGCACGCACCACGCTTGTTATACAAACTACAAACATTTCTTGCTTCTCTTTCCCCCTTGACACACAATAATAATGTCGCGTAAGGGAAGTAAACTTCGATTTCTATTATAACTTAGCTTCGAAGAAAATAATCTTGAAAAAGTTAAAATGGCTCGGAAAATTGTTAAACTTGGCTCATGTCTAGCATTTTCAGCCACATTCTTAAAATATCGTTCGTATGCTGGGTTCTTTTTAAAAGTTTTGTGCATATATAGATAAGTATTATGGATGCTTTGTATTAATAGCCTAGTTTGTATAAGTGAGAAATAATTATTTCACAATTTCTAGAAAACTCATTAAACAAACATTTCAGTTCGTAAATGAGAAACGCTGTAGAATTAATTAAGATTTTCGCCGCTTTATTTAAGTAGTGACCGCTTGATTTCTAAAATTCAAAATTAACAACGATCATTATCTGTTAGCAACAGAGAAACTGAATTAAAACTTAGCGGTTCGTGTTACACAAAGGCTGGATAGGGCAAGCGAAGGCCTTTTCATCAAGAAGTCAGATAGCAACAGCTGTAACTAGCCACTTTCAGAGTTTGTTAACTCAACTGCCATTTGCAGCTAGTTAGTCTAAGTTTGCATAAAGATATTACAAACATAAAAGCGTGGGTAGATATCTAATTTAAACTTTATTTATTTAGTTGCTAGGTACAAAATCGAAGGTTTAGTTCTACATAATATGCTTACCTACTCAATTTAAGTTTTGACAATGTTATACCGGTGTGAGTAAACTATCTGTACTGTTAGGCCCATTCACTGAGTAGTGGAATAATGATATGACAGAAAATTCCATGTAGTCGTGTTGTTCAGTAATTATTACAGATTAGATTTCCATGAAATTGTCTAAATCGAAATCATTATAATTACTTTAACTGACCTGCCCACACCAGACCAGAGTCAATTAATTTTGTACCAAACATAATACCTTTTTTGAGGGCGTAAATTATCACATGCTGTGATTCATATGTTTGCTTGCAGCCTTATCCATTAAAAGATTACAATCCTTGCACATTTTTATTAATAAATCGTGACCACTCACGTTAGGATTTTCTCCTGTGCCGTAATTGCTAACTACGTGTTTGGTAACTGGTAATTAGTGATTGATATTTAAACACGTGATTGTATAGTCAAGATAACAAACAGCTTTCCTGAAGAAACTTTTTTCTAGACTCATTAGATTTATTCAGTAGTCATCATCATCAGCCCATAAGTGCCCACTGCTGAGCAAAGGCCTCTTCTCACATGGAGAAGGTTTGAGCATTAATCACCACGCTTGCTCAATGCGGGTTGGTGATTTCAAACTTATAATTAGAAATTATAAGTCCAGGTTTCCTAACGATGTTTACCTTCACCGTTTGTCAGTGGTGTCTAAATAATCATAGAAAGTACATATAACTCGGAAAAAGTCACATTGGTACTTGCCAGGTTTCAAACCCACACCCTCGTGCATGAGAAGCGGGCTCCTTAACCTCCGGGCCACCACGACCTTTATTCAGTAGTAATACTATAAAAAAATACTGGCTACTATGCCAAGTGCAAGCGCTCGCGCGCGGGGTTTCTCCGCTAACAGCTGATCGGGTGATGTTAGGCACGAAGTTTGGTAGAAGTAGTAATAACATAAAACTAATGAGAAAAACGTTATTTGGGTAAGTTGTTTGTTATGATGAGGATAATCATGTAGTATTTAAATATCTCTAACTAGTCACACTATACATATATACCATTTCACACACTCAACAAACAAATCTGAACCCAGCCCTCGCGTCAACTGTGCAAATACCTATACATACTTAATAATACAATTTTCCTCTCTCAGCGCGTCCCACAGCACCACGGAACTGTTCCTTACAAACTGGCAATACGAGCGCAGAAGGTAGCTCGTGGTTGCGTGTGCGCTGCGTCGCTGGCTACGACGGAGGTCTGCCGCAGTACTTCATGCTGGAGGCTTTGGACCCTGTGACTGGACAAACGAGGTTCAATGGCAGTGTTAATGAGACTGGTTCGTTGGAATTATTATTATTATCTATACTAATATTTATAAAAATTGTTTGTATGTTTGAACGCGCTTATCTCCGGAAATGCTCTTTCGAATTGAACGATTCTTTTTGTGTTCGCAAGTCCATTTATCAAGGAAGGCTATAAGGCTATAAAACATCACGCTAAGATCTGTTTGAGTCGAGCAGTTGGTGCGAAAGTGGCTTGTATGTTATATTTGTTTTTATTATGAATTAAAAAGTATCAAGTAATTAGGATCTAAGTAGCTTACTTGCCTAGTGGATTATATTCTTTTTCTATATTTCGATGTGAGATTCTTTTCTAAGAATATTACTAAGATCGTTACATCTAATGATTAGGATGTTACTGATTACATCACAACCCTGATATTTGTTTTCCATAAGTACCTACGTATATTCAATTAAAATTATTTCATAATTACATGGAATTTCATTTATTTATTTATCCAAACTTTTGCACATATATTTATGTTTAAGGTGGACTTAAAGGCATAGGCGTTCTCTCCCAGTTCAACCTTAAGGTGATGTAAGGAGAAGTCAACGATAGATCTAAAAAGCAAGCAAAATCTAGATTTTACTAATGATATACATTTCATACACACCATTAAAAAATATGTTTCAATAGCAGCCCGAAACATACCCATCCAAATCAGAACCCAATATATCACTATATATATTTATGTATACAGATGGCCTAGCCGTATTCAAACTGGACCTGGCCCAGCTAACATCAGCTGGTGAAGCTGCAGGAGCCACCTTCAACCTCCTAATCTACGCGAGGAACCTCAAAGGAGAATCAGAGAAGACTTTGCTTGAAAATATCGCCTTCAATGACGCAGCTCGACGAACTGGTGAGCAAATTGGTATTTAACTACATAGGCATAAAGTTTTTATTTGTAGTGTTTTTAAGTGGTTCTTAAAATCTTTTCAGTTTGGAAAGAAATGATTAGTTTTTCTATATTTTCTGATTCCAATTATCGAGACAGAAAAAAATAATACTGAACATGGAATACGGTACTTTCCAACTAGTCAAATTCAATACTTTTATCCAAATGTCAAAAACGATACTTTTGTATGAAATTTGTATGAAAAACTGAGTTATGATGTCATACAGATAATTAGCTACAAAATATCTAAAACTTAGTGTATCGATCGATCGATGAATAAAATTATAGTTATTTTTTTAATATTTTATTATATTGAAACGTCGAATTAATTTGTTTTTGACCTAGGAAACCACCCATTTAAGTTCTGGATCAATTGTAGAGTATTTGGACCTTCTTTTGTACATTTGAGTCCTTTTCTAAAAGTTTTAATATCAATTGACCTTTAAATGTCAAAACATATTTACCAAAACGTTCTACGTAATGTAAACGCAATAGAAAATTGTGAAAGCATTGAGAATTGGATACATTCCTATAAAATCAACAGGCTGATATTAGAAATAGAACTTACTGGAATCGCTCTTCATTATTAATACAAAGTTTTGTATAACAACCGGGTACAAATAATACCTGTTATTTGGAGTAGCTTTAAAATAACAATCTTTCAAGGCCGACCGGTGCTCGATACCTTTGGCTTTGTTAAGCTAACATTTGAATGATTAAATTCAACATCAATATAGTCTAGTAGGTTTCTGAATAGAAATATATAATTTCAACGTTATTATAATTATATTACATTCTGTAATTAAGATTTCGTAAAGCCATGTAATATGGATGTGGATAAATTGTTTTAATTGCGTTGTTGAATGGTTTTGTATTGTATATTAATAAAATGTATACCATTTTAAATAAATACTAAAATAAATACTTAACGTATTTATTTTTTATTATGATTTTGACTAAAATATGTTTTCATTTTAATAAGCTGTTAGAGTAAGGGTTACTATTGAAATAATGCTGTAAACACGATTTTGTTTTTTGCCTCTTTTCACACGGAGAAAGAAAGTTTACGTATTAATCACCACGCTTGTTCAAAGTGGATTGGCGTTTTCATACTTATGAGTATAATTAGATTAGATTTTATAACCCCAGGTTCAGTACGAAATACGATGTTTCGTTTCACCGTTGGTCAGTGGTATATTAGGTACTTTTCTTAGAAACTACATTAAAATATAAAATGAAAACATGATACTTGCCAAGTTCGGATCCTCATGCATGAGCGGCGGGTGCCTTAACTACCAGGCTACCACAAACTTTATTTAGTTCGCTCAACAAATAAAACGATATTTTAAATACCAAATGTCACAATAACATCAAGTGTAAGTTAACTGTATTTGGAAAACAAATCTGGATTGTCCCGTCGACTATCTTTACAAGGCGTGTTTACAAGGGTTTCAAGTTTGGTTTCACGATCCGACCGAGTATTATTTTAATTCAGAAATAACATGGGGTCTGGAATTGTGATCAAAATTTAAACTTGCCATTTCTTATTGGATTTATTTAATAACTGGTACAAAAAACAGTTTTTGGATTTCTCAAAGTAAACATCCTATATATATGTACTTAAATATGTGGGAGAGCCATGCTTCGGCACTAATAGGTCGGCTCGACCGGAGTGATACCACGACCTCGCAGAAAACTAGCGTGAAACAACTACAGCGTTGTTTACCCGTGTTAATGAGGTTACCGAAGGTCTAATCCTTTCCCTCCTCCAATCTGTAAATCTCCAAATCCCCAAAAGGTCGGCAACGCACTCGTAAGCTCTGTTTTTGCGGGTATCCATGGGCGGCGCTGAGCCTGCTCGTTTGCCGACCCATCACATAAAAAAATAAGGCAAAAACGAACGAAAGCATAGGCGTATAATGTAACTATTATAAAAGAAAATCGTCCAACTCAAAGAAACTCAACCCGTATGTTTCATTTTGATTAATGTCCAAAGTTAAGTAAAATAAAATTTGCCCGAATAAGCCCCGTACATTCATTCAATTCAAATAATCATCTATTAAGGATATAAAGGGTATTCTTTGTACAAGTTTTGGTATAAGCCCTTTTTCGGGGTACGGAACTAAAAAATACATTTGAAATTGAAGCTTTTTACTCTGTGAATTTAGTCGTGAGCCTATTTATACTCTGTTTCCGTTTACATTGGCCTCCCAGAGGTCAGGATTATTGACTTTTGCTCTCAACAATTTTTCCATTTTCATTCAAATTGACGTTTCGTTTTGATTGATCTCATTATTAAACAAATATGATTTGAGGTCTTTATTTGTTGAATTTATTTGCTTCCGAATACTTTGAATTATTATGTTTCTTTTAGATGAAGGACAGAATAATAAATTACAATCGAATATTTCCTTTGTTCGTTATTTTGTAAATACTTACAATGTTTAATCTTATTTTGAAATGGCTAACTGAAATGTTATTTCGTATTTTATGGCGATCGCTAATTACACAATCATAAATACTTATACTGTTATTTTCTTAAGAAATGGGCGGAATGGGTTCAAGATTTTACCTACTAAATAATTGAAGTCTAAACATCATTGTTTGTTACTTAATATATTTTTTTGCTGTCAAAATCTGTCTAAGTATGCTTTTACACCACATGTACCAATGTTGCATACATAAATAAATTTACACAGAAATTACCTGATCAAAATTGGCTCAATATTGAACACACGTTTTATGTGATAAAACCGTAAAAGAGCAGGCATATTACCTGATGGTAAGCAAACACCGCAACACGAGTGCGTTGCCGGCCTTCTCGGAATTAGGGTTTCGGAGATTTAAGGATTGGGGGAGGGGAAGAGGGATTAGGCCTCCAGTGACCTCACTCACACGGCAAAACAAAAAGCTGTAGTTGTTACAAGCTTCAAAATAAAATATACAAAATATTCTATAGATGGAAAAGGCGCAATGAGTGGAGTAAGCGTTGGAGTCGCAGTGGCAGCTGCGCTAGGAGCTACTTTAGCAGCTGGTGGTTTAGCCATAGCTGCCTTATGTGCCCGTCGACGCCGAGCCACGCCACCACACAAACACCCACCTGGTGACATGCTGGAACTCAGCGATGGTGGAAGACGCTACGTGGTGGCATACACCATCAAACCTTCTCCAGATCTCAAAACACCAGACCCACAACCAGACATACTGAATGCACCAGGTAATATGATGAGTAAGTGGACAATGAATAGTTACTTAGTACGGTTTTTTCGCACAAACTTGTGTCAATTTTATGAATTTGTCTCTTGAGTGCCATTTAGGATATTTATAATTATGTGTTTTTACAGATTCCGAAAATCAACCTTCAGCTCCTATATTAGACGAAACGGACGAGTGGCCTAGTATAAAAGAAGTCAGAGGTAAGTTTCGAAATAACAACAATAGGTAAAATATATGGATTCATAAAGTCAAAGCCTGACTGATAATAATGTTTTTTTAGGAGATTGGAGTAAAGCTGGTGCGGTCTTCTCAGCAGAAGACCTCGCATTATTAGACTCTACTGGGAGACCACAACAGGTGAGTTGAAATAATGATGTGATTGGACTAAAATGTAACAATTAAGATTTACGATATTTATATCTGCACATCTGACAACTAGCTAGTGGGCAATTGACTGCCGTGCAGTGTGTCGCGGGTTCGATTCTCGTTTGGATTAACTACTTGTTATGATAAGTTGCTGACCCAGGTCTGGGTGCTATGAGTGTGTGAATTTATGTTTGCAAACGCACCCACGACTCTCAGAAGATTTTCTGCACTGGAGAAATGTGATTTCTTGTAGATGTGAACAATGGAGAAAATCTTCTAGACTGAAGAAAAGCAATTTCTTATGGGTGTCTAGTGTAACATGAGTGTGTGTATAATATGTTAAATACCAACACTCCACTAATCACTTATTTCCTCCAACAGCTGACACCAAACAGCGACCTAGTGCCCAGTAGACAAGAAGACGTTCTCAACCAGAATTTACAACCGTTAGGAAGTAACTTTAGGCCTAGCTATGTAGTCACTAACAGCCCTACTTTGGGCAGCCCTAACTTCGTGTGTCCCAATGGGAACTTGAGTTCTCCGTTCGGTAGCCAGACTCTTAGTGGACCAACTCTAAGTTCAGGGAGTCTGGCTACCTCCACTCTACATAGAAACAAAGGGAAAGGTAACGTGCGGAGAAGGGAACACGTGCTAGCAGAAAATCTACCCGGACCAGAGAGTTGTGTGTAAAGTGATGACTTTATGTGCTTCACGGATTTGAATTCAATGTTTAGTTTCGCGGTTATTGCAGACCAAAGCTATTCTTTTCTAATCTTATTTAGCAATTTAAAGAAAATAAGTTTTTACGTTGGTGAAAATGTAAGTACATATTTGACACTGCCAAAAACACTAATTGAATTTGATCATATTGCTAAGCGCCGTGACAATATTTCACGTGTATATAGTTCTGATAGTTAAATATATTTAGCTAACGTGTCCTATAAGGGGGAATGTCCGATATATCTTGTACATTGCTCTTATATTGTATAATAAACTGCTACGCAGCGCTCTCAATAAATTACGGCCTACATTTTGTGTTAGTAATTTGCTCAAAAATCGGAAACTTGGGGAGTGCGAAGCACGAAGTTTTAAATTGTATTTCAAGGTTCCTCATAATTATATTAAGTAGCGGAACAGCTCGGAACTTAGTGTTCCGTACTTTTATTTCGGTCGCAGAATGTACAATAAACATTTTATTGTTTCCCTCCTAGCTACTAACTAGACTAAAGACTTAATTATATTTTTCATACACGTCTGAAGCTCCAATTATTGTAATTGCGATAAAATAAATTTATAAGACATAAAGGCTTATAGAATCTCCTATTTGATTTAATAAAATCGGTTGTGTGTGTAAATACTGATAGTTGTGTAAGCCCGACTTGTATGTATAGAAACAAATATTATATCTATGTTAAGGAGCTTTTGTTGTCAATTTATTTATATGTGGGGGTATTTAGTGAAATTGTAAATATTGCATAGTCAGTGATGAATAGATGAAGCGCTCTGGGCATACGGCATGAGAGGACCCTTCGGAGGGCGAAATTTAAGATAAATATAACTCGTGGGAGGTACGTGTACACTGTCTCCTTACAACATTGACATCCCACCATAAAATGTAAAATAAAATATGTACAAAACGGTCGTGTAATAAATCACAGTCACACTCCGGTGCCGTACCGCCGACGGTTTTCCGTATGGCGCGGTTTTGAGGTAGTAAAATGTTTTTAGATAAAATAATTTTCTTACAACGTTTTTAAGTAATTGGTGGGTGGGAGTGAATTGAATATACTTCATTATTATACGTGGTAATTTGTGGATATAATTTATGCACTATTATGGAAATTATTTTAAAAAATCTACCACAAAAGAATATTTTTAACAACACAATAATAATAACAACATAGTATAGAACAAAGTCACTTTATCTGTCCCTACTTCCCTATGTGTGTGTATGCTTAAATCTTTAAAACTACGCAACGCATTTGGATGCTATTTTTTATAGGTAGAGTCATTGAAGAGGGAGGTTTATATGTATACTAACATCCATTAAATAGCGGAGAAGTGTAAAAACGGGTTGGGTTGGTAGCATAAAAATAAAATATATTTATTTTATATTATTCGTTGAAGGGTCATTGTACTCTGATGCCGCATGCGCAGTGAAAGTCAGTAGTGCCATTTTATAACGATAGCAATTGTAAATGTTTCAATTTTGTGTTGATTCTATTATATAGAGTTTAACAATGAAACCTCGGGTTCATTTGTAAAATATGATCGAACTGTTTGTAGACGTCATCAATCTATGTGGTCCTAACGATCTGATATGGCAATTTTATATTTAATAAATAAATAATGGTTTATATAAAAATGTTTTATGTTTTATTTCTAACAATCCTTCTATGTATATATGTAGCTTATAACTCTGTTAGCCTATTCTGTGCTGTTATTATTCCAGTGTAATAAGAGTCCTCAGAAATTATTTTCGAAAGAAAGTCGACATATGAATTAGTTAACTTATTCATTAAAATGTCTTATAAAAAGTAACCAATTATGGAATACCATTTTGCTGATGTCCCAATATGGAATTTTCGTGTATTTCAAATAACAGTATTCCAAATTAAGACACTGTAATACCTTTATTTATATACTTATACTATAAAGAGGTAAAATTTGTAAGTTTGTATGTAAGGGGTAATCTTTAGAACCGCTGGTCGGATTTCCAAAATTCCTTCACTGATGCTGAGCTACAATGTTCCTGAGTGCTATCGGCTATAAAACATCACTCTACGATTAAATGGAGCCGAGCAGCGGTTGACACCGCGCAAGAATAGCTAGTGTTATCATAATAAGAAAACTATAACAATCCGTTTCTATAATCTTAATAGAATGCATGCACAATCATAACTTACAGTTAAAAAAATCAATCATAATATATTATAAGCAAACAGTTAAGTAGTTACCTACTACCAAGATTTCTGTTACCTACTCCAAATTTCTACTATCCACGTAGGATAGTTTTAATTTACATTTCACATTTAACAAACACAAAATTTCCCCAAACAAAACCAATGCTTGTTTCTAAATATTATATTCCGCGGTAAGTTGCTTAGGTTAGTTTATCGGATTAGTTTGTTTATTTAACGCCTTCAGTAAGCTGAGACGGTGAAGTCTAGACCAGGCTTATTTAATAGCACAGACTAAGACAGGTAATACAAATTTTTTGTTATACCTTTCAGGACTTTAAGTTTGTTGAATAATCTGAGGTCTATACTAAAGTTGGGCGTCTTGTCTTGCTTGGCTTTGAGAATACAAGACTCAAATTTGAATAGTTATTTTATTGCGATATAGTGTAATAAATAGTAGAATCCCTCCTCCCCGCTTTAATATTTATTTTATTGTATTTTATCCTTCTGGTCAGCGGATTGTTTAGATCAGGTCAGCGGATTGATCTTGTAAACTAGCGTACGGATCACCTGACGGTAAGCAATCGGCGCCGCTTGCAAGTGCGTTGCCGGCATTATGGAGGTAAGAAGTTTTGGGGATTCAAGGATTGATAATTCGGGAGGGGCGGGGGAAGGAGACGGTTCACGCCTCCGGTAACCTCACTCACAACGCTGTGGTTATTACACACCGGATATCTGTTAAACCGTAGTATCAATCCGATCGAACCAGCCCATTCGTGTCGAAATATCACATGACGAATAAGAAAACCGATGCCAAAACTTTTAAACCCTAAATTTACAGACAACAAAATAAAGTAAGTATCATCTAAAACAGCCTTATAAACAGTTGCCTTAAAGGCAATAAATTCCTTCCTGTTTTCATTACGAGAACTTTCTAAAGTCTATATCGTAGTATTTATCTCATTGCGGTACCGAATTGAATTCAACAGAATAACAAACGACTCGTATTTCGAAAACAACGCGGCAACGTAAGCGAACTCGAAATGCCAGGAACTCTTAAAAGCAAGCCCGCAGCTCCGAAAATGTTGACACAAGCCTAACAAATCGACTTCCAAGACCTAAGTTATGTTTGTTGTAAACAATCGCTAATTATACACGTCTGATTATTCAAGAAAACGCTGTTAAATATTGTACAATTATTTAATGGTTGATGTTTATGCTGTCGAAGCTTTGTAAAGAGTTTGTGATAAGGAAAAAGGTTGTTTAGGTACTGCTCCAACTTCTTACAAAAGTAGCATAACATAAGATATAAAAATGATTATAAATGAATAATAATGGGGTTCCATTGGTATGCAGCCAAGAATTGGTATGTGAATCTGATTGAGAAAGAATAACCATGAAGTTTTTACTCATCATACTCTTTAGCAATCTACAATTAACAACGAGCAAATAGCTTCAATAGAAGACTGAACGACAGATTGATACTATTAATTTATCTTTAAATATTTCGGTCGATGTAGAAATGTACCTATCTTACATAGGTGTAATTAAAATAAATGTATGATTTGACTTTTACTGTATTCAAATAATTTACAAATACAAGTAGATACAAAATTCTGGTAAATGTCTTCCAATTTCAAAATTCTATGGCTTTCGAAAATAAGCTATAAAAAGAAAGGAAATAAGTTATTTCTCACTAAGCACTCTCCAAGATACAAACTTAATATGGATTACCATTTAAAAAAATAAATATTTTGGTCCTTGCAACAGTTTTGTTAGCAAGGAGGTCATATACGACTATGTTGGCAACCACGCTCCACAGAGGAACGTTATAAAATATCTCAAACTCGCCTGCTCTCTATTTTGTTTATGGTTCATAACGAAAGAATCTCTGCACTTTCTTGAGGTTACAGTAAAATGCTGAGAAATACGAATCGTTTCCAACAATATTATTATATATGACTAAGATTTTTACTTCTTATAGATGTACAGAAAAACATTACACATACATACATAACATAATTAGCCTATAAGTGCCCACTGCTGAGTAAAGGCCTCTTTTTATGCGGAGAAGGTTTGAGCATTAATCACCACGCTTGCTCAAGGCGGATTGGCAATTTCAAACTTATAATTAGAAATCATAAGTCCAGTTTTCCTCAAGTGTCTAAATTACCATAGAAAGTTAGTACATATACCTAACTCGGAAAATGCATGGGAAGTGGGCCCTAGTCGTAGTCTTCAGGCCACCACGACATCTTAACGCAGAATGAGGAATAAATAATAATTATAATAAAGAGTAATTATATATTCTTACTACATTATATTCATTATAAAATATACAAAATATAAATGCCTTCATCTTAAACGTCGAAGTCATTGTCAAAAATAGAGTAGGAATCTTTATGGTTCAGTCAAGATTTCCACTCAATATCTCGCATTTACAATTTTTTTATAACACAATACGTAAAAATATATAATTTCATCATTACTCTAAAATATACGAATACATTTACCGTCCCATTCTAACCAAAATGTCTAATTATAATTATAATACCACACGACGCCTAAACAAGGAAATGCTGCCTAATATGTTCTATAAATATCCTCCCACGCTCTCACACACATGAAACAAGATCCACACTAAAATAATACTGTCGTTTTAATGACACGAATTACTCTATAGGAAGTACGCATTGCATATAATTTAGGGCCTACATATATTAAGAAGGGTTCTTATCAAATGAGGACAGAAATCAGTAAGTAGTTTATAACGAATAGAATAAATTCCTTAAGGAACATGCTGTAGACTTGTACCTCTTTTATTTATTATTAATTGTATTCAATTGTACTCACGTGTGCTATATTTTGTGTACAGAAATAATTACAAAATAAGGATTTTCACAGCTATTCTCGTAGACGTTTTAAGTTTACTACGAAAAACAAAAAGGTACCAGAAAAACATTTATGTACACAAAAAAAAACATAGACTACAAGTATAGCATAGATTAAGCAATTTACATTTTGGATATATTTACTGCTGTAAGTGCACACTGCTAAACAAAGGCCTTTTGTCACACGGAGAAGGTTTGAGCATTAATCAACACATTTGCTCAAGAAATATTAGTAATTTCACTTATAACTAGAAATACTAAGTCCAGATATCTTCATTATGTATTATTACACTGTATATAACGCTTTCTACCTAAACAAACTAAATATATAACTCAAAAAACCTAAACCCATTTCTCATAACAAAAATAAGAACCTTACAGAAAATACGGCAAATAAGACTTAGCATTATTTCTGTCACAGCTTATTCCTCGTGATTACACCGCCCCGCTGCTTCGAGGGTTGGAATTAAAATGAAGTGAGTGACTATGAATATAACATTATTAATGATTTCAGGCGCCTTATTCTCGCGACAGAAGTACGAGTTAATGAAATAATTGAGTCTACAGGTCGTGAGTGGGAGATTGATTAGCGATTACAATTCTGTTGTTTATTTTGAACGTTTATTTAAATGGTAAATGTGTATTTTTTATGTAAATAGTGAATATATTGCCTTATTGGTAGAGTTGTAAGCATGACTGGCAGACTGAATAAAATAAATTTGTATTAAAAAAAGTGTGACTGGCATATATCAAGAAGCTCACCTACCCGCCTACATGGATATTTTTAAATTTTTAGATAAGATTTTTAACCAAATTTAATATCAAGAGAGAGAGTTCTTTAACACGTTAACCTCCACGTAGGTCACCGGTGACCAACGGTTGCGGAGGATTTGCCTTCAATAGTTTTCAGTTGGCAGTCAAAGGCTAAAGGTTTTTATAGAATTTCCTATTATATTAAATGGATTACTTGAATCCTCTTCATTCAAT